CTGTGTGTGTTTGTGTGTGTGTGTGTGTGTGTGTCCGCAGCAACTTGTCCGCAACTTCCAACTCGGGGGCCACAAAAGCTAGGAAGTTGAAAATTTAGAGGAATGTTCCCCACCCACGTGTGACCCCGTAAATTTAAATTCAGCTTCCCCGTACCCGCTGGTACCGGTACGGCCCCATGAAAGTTTTTTACGGGTAAGTTAATATCTCGAGAACCACGGAGTTTAGAAGGCTGAAATTTTAGGGTATTGACCTCTGCCCCCGCTCAACCTTGTCCATTCAAATTCAGCGTTCTTGCGCTCTCGATTACCACCTACGGCCTTGTGAAAATTTTGGCGGGTAAAATGTTAACTGTCAACTCGGGAATCACGGAAAGATATTCATCCTTTAAGGTTTCGAATTCGGCTTTCATGCGCCACGTAAAATTTTTAACTGTTTTCCAATGTTTGAACTATTTTTGCATAGACTGAAGTACAAAGCAGTGAAAAAAGTTTTTAACTGTTTTTCAATGTTTGAACTATTTTTGCATAGACTAAAGTACAAGGAAGTGAAATCTTTAACTGTTTTTCAATGTTTGAACTATTTTTGCATAGACTAAAGTACAAAGCAGTGAAAATCATTTTCTTAACTGTTTTTCAATGTTTGAACTATTTTTGCATAGACTAAAGTACAAGGAAGTAAAAATCATTACGTCTGGTTTTCAATGTTTGAACTATTTTTGCATAGACTAAAGTACAAAGCAGTGAAAATCATTAACAGGCAAATATCGCTCGATGGGATGAATTGCACAAAACGCATGATAGCACCAGCTAGTCTGGTGCGCGTTGCTATTTATTATATTTTATAGATTATCATATCAACAACTGTTTCATTCATCCTGAATCTCAGTGCCTCTCACAATGTTCCAGTTGTCGGAAATATTCCCGCTGGGTAAGTGACTTTTTTGCATTTTGATTCTGGATCTTCAAACAGATTTGCTATCACTGAGCTTTTGTGCACTTACTATGAATTCACCAATTTTATTTCTGCTTATCCTCGTCCATATACTGGGCTGCCAGAATTCTTTAGTTGTCAGAGCCCATCTAAATGAAAATAAAGGGATAAGTCTCGAAAGATCAAGGCGAATTTAAGAGCTTGTGAATGTTTTGACGAGAATGGCGGCAACACAGGAACCAGGTAAGCTGGGAAGTTGAAATATTGAAGGGATTTTCTCTGTTCAGGTGCACTCTAGAAATTTCAAATTCAGCCTCTAATTAGGCTTGGTTCTCACCTAGGAATACGTGAAAGTTTTGGTGGGAAGACAAACTCAGGAACAAGAAACACTAAGAAACTCAAATTTTAGGAGGGTGTTCTCTGTGCATATGCCATTCAAAGGCTTTAAATTCAGTTCCTAAGTACGCCTATGTTTCGTTTATGAACGCTTCAAAATTCTGGCCGAAAACTTTCCGTCCCGGATTTCATCATCTTACTCTCTGGAAATCTTGTTCATTGACCGACTTTCGATTTCATTAAATTAACGGTCACCGGAAATTATTGATTTCTCTGAATGTATAATTTTCGTAATTATGCATGCTGGCGACTAAGATTTGACGCAGCCTCCTGATACAAAACCACCGTCCAGCCGACGCTTTTTCCTCCCGCTGCATGCAAGAAAAGGCCAAAACACAGCAAAACATGAATGCAAATGTTAAACTTGAAAGAAGTTGAAATATTGCAGGGATGTTCTCTGCTCACGTGCAGTCTAGAAATTTCAAATTCAGTCTCTAATTAGGCTTGGTTCTCACCTTGGGACGCATGAAAGTTTTGGTGGGAAGAAGACGAACTCAGGAACAAGGTTAAGAAACTCAAATTTTAGGAGGGTGTTCTCTGTGCATATGCCATTCAAAGGCTTCAAAAAAGCAGAAACCATTCATCCTATTAACTATCTGACTTTTTCCAGATTTGCGCAAAACGCATGACCTTGTGCGTTGCTGCCTGGATTACTATTGGTTAATGATTATTTTCATGCAGAAAACGGACATTTTTACCGGGGTTAAATGTTTGCAGTTTGCCGAAACCTCGAGCGCCACGTTTTGATATAATCGGTGATTGCCTTCTAAATGCTTCCGGCATTGCTGCCGTTGTTATTGCGGTTCACATATCGATGGCTAAATTGCTGGCTAAACGAATGAAATATGTTGTTGATTCGGGCCAGGTTAGCACGCATCCTTCAAATAAATGATCTAGTAATTTGACAAAAAAGTGTGATATTAAACTATTTTCGACCTTCACTTGTGTGCCCAGGAACAGTCTGCATACTTTTAAGCAGACTGCAGCATCCAAGTTGACCCTGGAAGTGCAGACGGCAAAGTGTGAAGGAGTTCAGGGGAAAGTAGTAGTGTAGATTATTGAAGGTGAGAGCGAGATAAGACGTTTCGGTTCATTAAGTCATATATGTCTTAACTCAGCACTGCGACTCGAAGTCAGTTAAGATTGATAGAGGTGCAATAATAACAAAAGGACAGCGTGCTTGGTTTGAATCAAAGCTCGAACAGGGGCCACATTTTAGGTAGAAATTTTACAGGGAAAAATGTTTGAATTTTCTCCAGATTTATTTATTCTGAATTAACAAATAAAGCACTTTGCCTCATTTTTTTTTGCGATCATTTCAGGAGCTTTATGCGCTGGGCTTTGCAACACTGCTTGGCAGTTTTTTCTCAATATATCCTGTGGCCACAGCTCTCGGTCGAACAATGGTCAGTGTGGAAAGTGGCTCGAAAACACAGGTTTTTTTTTTTCTAATATTGGTTGTAAATCCAAAAAAACATGTTTGTTGTTACATTTGTAAAAGAGCTTGAGTAGATTTCCGGCAAATATGAGTAGTTAAGATTCGACCAGTGCGTCGTTTCAGATTTTAAGCCGCGCACGTTCAACTGTTAGCACAGGTTGCAGATTGCCAAAATATAAAAAGTCGTATTTTTTGAACGAGAAACATCTCGTATTATATAATGCATGTTATGTTTTACAGCACTCTAGTTGCGCGAGGTTTTTTTTTTTTTGCTTTTAGAATTGTTAATTCAACACTCAAAATTAAATCAAAACCATTGTAGGCCTGTATTCATT